AATGACTGACTTTTTTGAGCTTTGATTAAAAATTGCATCCTCCTCTCAGTTTTGGGTCTGAGAAAATGCCTGCAGACTTTTCCAGTATCTTTTCTTCTCTGTGTCTCTTTGTCTTTCCTCGAGCTATGTCCTGGGCTTAGAGAAACAGATGCTCTCCCTTGGCCTGGTTTGCAAAGATCACTACTGAAAAGTGATATACAGAGGGAGACTAGCTGCCCCTCTCACATATTGAGGCTTCACCCACATAATCAGCCAAATGTCATCATGAGGGCTACTTGCACATCTTCTCCCCAGCATCTGATGTTACCTTGAGTCTTCCAGTGAATTCCGTTTTTCTTGTTTTTTTATTTAAAGCTCACAGAGTTGAACTTCATGCACTGTTTAGCTATTTCTAAGTGGCTAAGGCATGCTGATGGTCTCTAATCCGCCATGTTAGAAACAAAAAAAGAAACCCAAAACTCTGTAGTGTATTTTAATAGTGATTTGTCTGCAACATCCAGTAACATAAGTTTAACTTATTGGAAATAATTTACATGAAATAGTTAATCACTTCTTTGTAGAAATTAGGAGTACTTCAGGAGTTGAAACATAATGCCTACTGATATTTTGTATGCCAAGGTTTCTGAGAAGTTTTTGTCTGCAATGTTCTTTTTCTTTGGCAAAACATAAGTTCCCATCAGTTAGGAAGTACCTATTTGTTCTTTCTTTAATCATACAAATATTAATTGATAAATATATGATTTGTTAATATAATATAATGGCATGTATTTAAAATAATATAAACAGATTTAAAATATTATAGTTAACAGAAAATCATATTGTTACATGGGTCATTTGACTCTTTTTTTTACTACATCAGGAATATAATCTAATTAAAATTGAACATCAAAAAACAGGAACATGAAACATTCCTCGAGATATAAACATAATCCATTTATATTGATATCATTATAATGTAAATATCTCATTATAGCATAATATAATTTAATTATATAGATTTCAAAACTGAATGTTTCTCAAGTTAGCCTATAAACTATAAAGTGAAGAATAAAGAAGCCAAAGAGAAAAAAACAAATGAATCAGCAAATTTGAATGAATTAAACTCAACTTAGCCATCAATTGATCCACTTCTCTTAGAGAATTTCATTTCTTTTCCTTATTCTATAGCACTATTGCTGGCTTACTGGATGTTAGTAGAAAAAAAACTATACCTTACATATTATAAAATACATATTTTCAACTATATAAAATACTTAATTTTAAATTACATATTTTACAGCTAGAACTAAATTTGATAGGCTGTGGAAAACCAGATATGCACAAATTAAACAATAGTGCTTTCTTCAAATAAAATGAAATGTAGAACTATTTTTCATTATTAATAGTAGATAAAATCAAACCTCCCTACCTCATCCCCATATAGTGAACAATATTTTTATGTGTGAGATTATATTCTGTAATGTTAATCACATTTTGATTAAAATAAAAATTACAGGATTTAGATGGATAGAAAACAGGACCTTTATATAAATTTGTCTCTAGGATTGTTTCATGTTCATGTTTTTTAGTGTCCATTTTTAATTCTAATAAAAATAATTGTATAATTTTATGTGAGACCAATGATACGCTATGACAAAAATAATAGAGTCTAATATTGTTGAAATGTTAATATTTATTTTCATGATACGGGTAAATAATTTATATTTAGGTTGTCCAGCTTATTTCTGTTCAAAAAAGTCATGAAGAGCAATAATTTTTGTCTTGAAAATATCAAATGCATGTGGGATGGTTTTAAGTTTTAAAAACTTCTAACTTATTTGCAGACACTCATTTACAAGCTGATTTGTATTTATATGTATGCTTTCTTTGTGTAAAAGTTTTAAGGCTGCTGGTTTCTCATAAAGTTATAGAAAATGAGATAGTAAAACAAAAATAGAAAATCATAGTCAAAGGAGAAAATAGCACATTCACACAACATACATCTCAATGCCTTTTTTATGCATGAACCTCAAATGTGTCTCTAAGTTCCACAGGAAAAAAAAGGCACAAAAGGATAACTTAAGCAGTTATCTAGTTTTCATTTTTTGTAGATGATGAATACCAGTTCATTAGGAGGAAAACTATCATTGAAATTTTGAACAGTATTTTTCATCTGCAGCATTATGTAAAGGAAGAGTGATGTAAGGATAGTGTATATCCTTAATACATCCAGAAAGTTTAAATCATCGTCACTTAGTATTTTTTTTATTTTCTTCTAACAATATTAGATAAATGTTGAGAAAATGACATTGATATGTAAATACATAAAGAACATGACTTCTGTTACTCCTTACTAATCTGTTGCAGGAACATAGAAAACCTTAAGGCCTGGAAAACTTTTATTTTCATAAGTACTGCTTAATTTGTATGTATGTGGAGGAGACAGAATGCTGAGCTATTTATTTTAAGATAGGGGAAAAGTCAGTACCCTTTTAACAATTACAGGGCTGCAGGTTATTTACTCAATTCCCTTGGAATATTTTGTAATTCATTTTTAAATTACAGATATATGAAAGAAGGTAATAGTTTAGAAGAAGAGGCAGGTAAATTGTGAGAATGGAAGGAACAAATGGTAAGAAAAGAAAAGAGACGAAAAATAGACTAACGCAAGGGGTAAAATGAGCAAGGACTAAGGAAAAATAAATAGGTTTTGATAGCAGGGAAGAGAGAAACAGTAAAAAACAAATGAACAATATGATTCATGTTTCACTTACTACTGTATTTACAATGTACTGAGCAAATTCAGAGTAAATCTTATACCTAAACACTCTAAGATAATTATTTCCCTGAAACAGTATAAATAGATCCAGTAGACTTTAGATATTGCACAATCATCAAACATAAATATAAAATAAACATGTTTAGTATAGCTGAAGTATTAGTATATAAAGTTCTGAGCATAGAATAAGAAGATTTTTTTCAATGAAATGTTTAAAAAACATAATGGTGCAGTCAAAGTTAAAAATCAGTGATAGATTAGCTAGCACATTAGACACAGTTAAAGGAAAAAGTAACACATTTTATGATAGATAAAATAAATTATATAGAATACAGTTCAGAAAAACAGAAAATATGGAAGAAGTGTATATGAAGGATCCTGTGATGTATTTCAACATGTCTCAAATCAGCTTTAAACAGGGATGTAAAGAGAAAGGGAAAGGAGAAATGCTCAAAAAGATAATGGTTAAAATTTTTTCATTTTTTGTTAAATAGGTATTAATCTTAAAATCCAGAGGGATTCAAAAGATCCAAGTTATCCAAAGCTGGACTCTAGGGACAAAGGAAAACATATATAACCTCACTAGTCATTTGTACTATCCTCAGTTTACTCTTTTGTGAGGTCACTCCACATTCCTGGCCTCTAGGCAATGCTTTCTATCACTGCTGCTTCCAATAAAACTGTTTACAGCTATTCTAATTTGTGGTCTTTTATCTGGATGTAGTCAGGGCACACTAATCTTCCAATCTGTCCCCTCTGCTTCTCCCTGGTTCTGCCAATACGTAAGGCTTCTATTAATATATAGTTCCTAGTTAAGTTGTACCCTCCACAGATTCTGATTCCAAGTATTCTCATTTCTAACTTCACTATTCAAGCTATGTCTTACCTTTCTTCCAAGGAACTGGATTCCTTATGTTTCACACAAGACTTGAGAAAAGATGAGGAGCCAGAATCTCTTAATTAATCTCTGCCTAAATGTGCCCTGAATGCCTTTTTATAATGCCACAGTTATACTGTGTTGATGTAGGTTCCCAGGATTTCCCCAGGAAATACTCTCAAGTCTCCTCATATTGGCTCTCTTTTCATTTTATTTGGCTTATAATGTCTCACATCCCTTGTTTCTAGGAAGTACAAACAAGGCCTAGAAAGGGAGAGCCTACATATGTGAGGTAATTAACTAAAGCTCCATGATTCGGTCTCATTGTTAGAGAAGTTGCAAAAGAGAAAAATAAGCTGATTTCTAAGATAAAAACAAAAGGAGGAATAACACAAATATTTTCCATATGAGAGAAACATTAGTGAGTTCATTGTTTTTTCTTTGTTTCTTATTTAAGTATACATTTTACACAGCCTTCTTCTATCTGGTAGCTAACACAAATGAATTTCAAATCATCAGAAATTCATAAAGGATATGTATAATAATTGTTCCCCTATGAATTGAAGTCAGTCACTAATATGATATAAATTAAGGCAAATATTATAGGGAAAATATGTTTTAATTAATTCATATATTTTTATTGTGTCACCCTTATAATCGATTGGGTTCTTAATAAGTTACTAAGTGTTCTTCATAAATGTTTGATGTTTTTAAGAATTCATGAAATGCATTCTTGTTTACTTGATATAAAAGTTAATTATAATCTCTTATTGATCTCAAAAAACAAGGAAATAATACTTTATGCTCTCTCTAGCCTACAGTATTATTACATAAAATGATTTTTATTCATCATGATAAGAAATTATATAAAATTTATGAATTATTTAATAAGAAAACTAAGATATTATTAATGGAGAAAACTTAGTAAACTAATAACTCAAGGATAAGGGAAACTAACCTCTTAGAAAAGCTGTGAAATCTATAATTATTTAAAATGCTATTCATTAACACTCATAACCAGCAACTATTTTATGTGTATCAGAATATTCTTATTTTTCAAGCATATTAAGCTAATTATTGAGATAAGATGTTCCAATCTCAGAGAAATATTTCAATTTTCATAAAAACTACATTTTTGTTATTAACTGATATCCCTGAATCCTGAACTGGCTTTGGGGTAAATATTCATCATTTTCCATTTAACATTTTATCTTTATGAAAAATTTATGTGATGTCTGAAATATTACTTAATAAATTCTAAGCAGTGTTATTATATTACAAACAATATTTAGAACTTAAAATAACTAATAAATTCTTATCAGCTTCAAGAAAACTTGAAACAAAACTGGAATCCTATAATTTCAGATATAACCACCCTTTCCAGCAACAACAATGAAAATATCATTAAAGTTTTACCACTGGTTTATTCTCTACATAATAAATGGATACTTTAAAAAAACATTTTGCCAACTACAAATTATGACTTCATCAAGGATGTGAAAAGGTGATGGCGGAGTTGGAAAAGAGAATGAATACAATGGGTAAGGAAGATAATACAATATAATTTTGTAAGTGATATTTTATTATGAACATTCCCACAATTCAATGATTCCTGACATATTTTTCTTTGTAGTAATAAAACCACAGACTCTTATTTTTACACAGTTTTGTAATTCTTTCACCTCTCCATCTGAGGAGATTCTTGCTTATATGGTAAAATGAATGTTTGTAGTCTGAATAACTACATAGGGTAGTTTGAGACCAACATCTACTTATAATAGCTTCTGTTCTCAAGAATGCCAAAAATATTATATTTTAAAATAATAATTTTTTAGCAGGCAAAACTGGAAATCCATATCAACTATCTGATATATTTGAAAGTGAAGAAATGCAAAAAAAATGATTATTGTCATCAAGTTTTATGAAGGTCTTTATGATGTCAGTGGGGATGAGATACCTATTTTCTCCAATAGTATTATATTCTCTCTCTCTCTCTCTCTCAATCCACCCCACTCTGTGTGTGTGTGTGTGTGTGTGTGTGTGTGTGTGTGTGTGTGTGTTTATCTCTTCCCTAAGGTATGATTTTCATTTAGATACGAAGTTCTGGGTTTCCAGTTTTGATGGAAGTGAGTTTTAAATGAATGGACTGACTATAGGACTTCAAGCACATCTAGTTTAGTGTCTAATTTTAAATTTAAAACTTTATGAATTAATTGTATATACAACCTCAAAATGAATCATATTTGGCAAACAAATTTCTTGTATTCATCTGCACTTGATTTGTAGATTATCTGAATGATAGGTAATATATACTTTGTAAAAATTGAACATGTATGAAATATCATCTAAACTCCTCAAAAAACCTACAATGTTTAATAGAATAAGGTAATATTTTCTCTATTTTAAGCAATTTCTATCAAATTTCTTAATTATTTATAAGCCATGAATCATATTTTGTCTCCTTATTAAATTCCTTATAGTTTCTTAAATCTTAAATTGCGGGAATTATAATGTTAACTAATGTAAGATCTCAAGTCAATTGTTTAATCCAAAATTTAATGGAGAATATTGGCACATAGCAAGCATAAATTTTATTTTCTATGTTCAAACATATTCTTTTTGAACTCAGAAATATTTTATCTGAAAAAATTGTAACAACCTTTGCACAATAAATTTTAAGTGGATGAGTAAAATATTTAAATATTTCAGATAATGTAGATGAAGTAAAGTTTCATTTTTTAATATTAAACTTTTGTCCTTAATTAACATATAAGTATTCCTTTTGTTTATTAAATAAATATCTCAAACATAAGAATCTTTTTAAATGTGCTTACAGTTGGATTAAGTCCTGGCAAAATTACTATTTTACGTCTAATGTTTTTATCTCCCCTCATTCACACCAGAAACTATCATTAATAATGGGAAGTACTGCATTTATATAACACAGATTATAAATGATCTGAACTGGATTCCCAACATTTTATATACATATGTCACAATCTAGGTTATGCATTTGTTTAAACAAAATACTGGTTTAAGATTCAATACTGCAGGCCAGGCACAGTGGCTCACACCTGTATTTCCAGCACTTTAGGAGGCTGATGGGGGCAGATCAGGAGGTCAGGAGATCAAGACCATCTTGGCCAACATGGTGAAACCCCATCTCTACTAAAAATACACAACTTAGCTGGGCATGATGGCGTGTACCTATAATACCAGCTATGATTTAATACTGCATATTCACTGTGATGATCAATAGGCACTGACAAAACTCCTTATTTAGTAACAAATATATGGATACAAAATGTTTAAATAGTATATTACACATGTAACCATATAAAAAGACTATATGTTGACTATGTGTTCAATTATGACTTTTTTAGGAACAGATAAATTAGCAGGTCCAGAAACAAGTTTCCTTTCGGTCCTAGTGAGGGAATGTATTCTTTTCCTGGGACCGAAAGGTGGGGGTAGTTTCAAAGGCAAGAACTTCCTAGTGCCATTATCTCCCCCAAGTCTCCATCTGGGAACTAAAGGTCTTTGTTTAAACTTTGGCGTACACAGGAAAGATGAAAAATCAATCACTGCAGCGAAGCTTAAAGTTAAAGTTTAAACTTTCTTCATAGGCCCAGAAAACTTAAAGGGGGCAGGAATTCCTCCCTGGTTAAATGTTCCCTTCTTCCACACCTCTTTGGACTCCATATCTGGATCCCCTTCCATGACCTCGTGGAAGCTCTTTCTCTTTCTCCTTTTTCTCTTTCTGTGCCTAAATAATCACGTTCTGCAAAACTCTTTTGGGTCCCATATTTACTTAATGGCTCACCGTGCCCGGCATGGTCCCCTCTCCCATTCTTGGGTGAGTGAGGTACCAAGGGTCTGAAAAAGAACATTGGTCCCTGAGCTTCCCCTGCTCCCCAGAATTCGGTTACACCAGTATCCCTTGCAATTAGTTATGACCAAAAGAGTAAGCCTTGGCCACTGACATATGGAGATAAGTGATGTAAGCCTTTTTCAGGTCCATTATAACACAACTTGACACATCTCATAATCTATAGTTTTTGTAGTTTTTCCTTCCTGCTGAATTGAGGATGACTCTCAGGGAGATATTGAAAAACAAACTTAAAGAAGAAGCACAGTCTTCATCTGATGAGTCAGTGAATCCATAAAGGAAGATATATCAAGCAGAGCACAAACCTCTTCCCACCAATCATTAGAATTTAGTGAAAAAGAAATAAAATTATATTAATCTCTTGATATTTTGGTGTTAACTGTTATGGGAGCTAGTGTTAACACTAATACAAATTATAACACAAATTCTAAAGCGTGTTTACCTTATTTGTATCTACGTTCCTTTCATGTTTTATGGTTTCAATGGACATTACTTATTTGATCAATTACTCTAGAATTAAAGGTACCTGTTTGGTGTTATGACCTTATCTAAGAATAGATAAAATAGAGACAGAGTTGACTATAAATATAATCATTTTTGGAGTGGTGGATGAAGTTGTGATATTTATTTTTCTCATATGTTGACTAAATGAGTTACAATAAAGAAAGAGTTTTTTTTAAAACAAAGCAACATTTACTGAACACTTATTATGTGAGGCTTGTATGTGCCATTTGGCTTGACTGATATTACGCCCTTATTATTTCATTTAATTTTCATAGAAATCCACTTACATGTGAATAAACTGAGGGTTCAAAACCTCAAATAAATTGTAAATGGAAGGCTGGAGTTAAGTTATATCACAGAAGTTGGTTTGGTGCATGGCATAATATCATCACTTCGTATTGCTTCATCTACTTATTAAAGATGTAGGGCTAAAAAGTGTTTTTGTAAATGTTTAAATATAAGCATCTGTTATTACCCACACTGCCAAGGGAAAAAAACTCAGTATACAGAAATAAATTGTTTAAAAGTCTGGTTGGTTTTATCTGGATAAATAATTAAGTATTGAAAATTTTATTCCCAAGTTATCAAGAGTTCACATACCCTCAACCAGGTAAAATTATGTTTTAAGTCTACTTTCAAATTTTTATTTTAGAAATTCAACATACATTTTATACCAAAATATTTTGGTGGATGAAATAGGAAAAACAATCTATACTCTTTTCCAGTTGCTAATGCATAGATGACTTATTTTTTAAATATATATGCCTTACTATGAAAGATGAAGACTCTTATTCAGTGTTTTCCCTTTTATTGTTAATCCATAAATGAATTAAAATGGCTTTGAAGTCTAAAGCTGGAAGTTTCAACATATTTTTAACTTTATTATTTATTTATTGTTTTATTTTGTTTTGCGTATTCAAATGGCTCATATTGCCAGAGGGTTAGTGTAAACATAAAGTTAGGCATTACTTAAAACTAAATAAAATATGAATTTGAATGTTGCTTTATTTTTTTCAATATCCACATGAACAAAGAACTGACTTGATTCTAAGCAATACAGATTAACCCAGCCAGTGGAAATCTTGGCCAAGTTACTCATTAACTGTTTTGTCTGCATGATTCAGTTGTCTTAAGTTTTATGTAATGATCCTTAAAAAGTCAACAAAGTCATTGTATGATTAAAATAACTAAATCTGTGTCAAGTGAACATTGAAAAAAATATCTCTGGCTACTATTTGTTTTATTTAACCCTAATTAGGAAATTAATAATTAGACAAAAGTACAAAAGAACTACAATATCTAGTCTCTGCAAGACAATCCACAAAACAACGTCAAAAATTGCTACTTACTGAAGTTTCGCATTCCTTTCTGGCCTTTCTTGATTGTTGACTTCGAAGAACTTACGCGTAACATGAAAAAATCAAAATTAAAAATAAATTAGAAAACAAGACTTTTGAGAAATGTATTTAGTGTTAATTAATTTTAATACTTTTCTTTCTTTGAGATGAAGTTTTGCTCTTGTAGCCCAGGCTGGAGTGCAATGGTGTGATCTCAGCTCACTGCAACCTTCACCTCCCAAGTTCAAGCAATTCTCCTGCCTCAGCCTCCCAAGTAGCTGGGATTACAGGTGCCCACCACAACACCTGGTTAATTTTGTATTTTTTTAGTAAGTACAGTGTTTCATGATGTTGTCCAGGCTGGTCTTGAACTCCTGACCTCATGTGATCCCCTGCCTCAGCTTCCCAAAGTTCTGGGATTACACACATGAGCCACCGTGACTGGCTTAATTTTAATAATATTTTACATGGAAAAGTTATATTCAGTGTAAAATATGCCATATCTTTTCTTTTTTGTAGATAATTAAATTTTCACAAGTAAAAAATTGTAAATCTAAATAGCAATAATCTCAGATCTGTATCATTCTATAAGTCTTGTTACCCAACCTATTCTCAATGTCATAAGTTAGCCTATAAACATAATTAGGCTATTTCTTGTAAACTCTGTTAATGATTCCTTTCTTTATCAAGACATAGATTGGTTCTTTTAATTAAAATATTTATAAAAACATAAGATATCAGTTAAGAAAGCTAGAACTCACAATATAAACAAATATAGCTTGATAAGTATTTCATATAAGCATTTATGCAT